AAAAGAGAGAGAAAAAAAAAAGAGAGAGAGAGAGAGAGAGAGAGAGAGAGAGAGAGAGAGAGAGAGAGAGAGAGAGAGAGAGAGAGAGAGACAAAGCTTTGGAATAAAACATATATTTTGGCTGCAAGTTGAGCTGTATGTCTGACAACTTCACAGAACTTTGGTAGTGCTTTCTTGGACTTCTGGAATTGATAAGCCATTACGATCCTCTCCTTGCAGAGCATCTTAGAAAAGTTGAAAAATCACATAAGGAAGAAAGGCGCCTACAAGTTCACTATCTATCAACAGAAAGTCAAAATGAATTCATCCAATGCTGTGCATCAAAAGTGACAGACATGATTTTGAGTGAAAGAGCGGAAACGATATATTACTCCAATATCGTTGATGCAAAACCAGACCCTTCACACGTCGAGCAAACGGTTTTTATTTTGCGTTATGTTCACTTGGACAGTGATGCAAATGTCTACAAAGTAGAAGAGGAATTTATGAAATGTGTAGATTGTAACAAGAAAACAGGGGAAGACATCGCTAAAATTATCCTTGATACACTAAATGAAAAAAAAAACCCATTCCAATTACAGACTGCCGAGGCCAAGCTACGACAACGGTAGCAACATGTGTGGTCTGTCTGTATAATGGTGTACAGGCTCACATTTTAAGACAGTGTTCACTAGCCACATACTCTCCCTGTGGCTGTCATAGTTTGAATTTATGTGGTGTGCACTCTGCAGAAAGCTGTTCAATGGTCATAACTTTCTTTGGAGTTGTACAGAAGCTGTGTAACATTTTTAGCTCCAGTCCACAAAGGTGGGAAATTTTGAAGCAAAACATTCCCAGCTCTTTGCACAGTATGTCTCAGACACGTTGGTCAGCACGTGTTGACAGTGTCAGGCCTTCTGCGGCTCACATCGGGGGACTGGGGAAAGGTGTTCAAACTGTTCTTCAAATGAACCTCCCCCCAGAAACACGTTCAGATTTGATTGGTATTCTTAAGTACTTTGCATCATTAGAATGTGCGATAATGGCATCTGTTTGGCTCAAAATCCTCACTGCAATCGATCACAGAAATACAGTGCTTCAAGCACGAGATGCAACGCTTGACGTTGAGGTGGCAAATATCAATAGTCAGGTTAAATATTTGAAAAACTTACGAGATGAATGGGACGCAATCTTGAGTGAGTCCAAATTAGTAGCAGATAACAATGAGATTGAGCATTCCTTCGCCGAAACAGCAAAACGACAAAAGAAAAGGAAACTTTTTGCAGACGAGGCAGAAGATGTAACAGACTTCCAAAAATCCTGACAACAAATTCAAGCATGAAGATTTTTTATGCCCTCATTGACTGCCTTCTTGGAAATTTGACGACAAGGTATCATGCAGTGACAAAACTCGATTCATTATTTAGTGTTTTATGGAAGTATCTCCAAGAGGAAGTCGGCGTTATTCGTGATCTTGCAAACAAATTGCACACGGAATATGCAGTGGATGCATCAGCAGACCTTACACAAGAGTTGGGACAATTGAAAGTGATTCATTCAGCGAACATTGGAGAAAATGTCCTGCCACCTCTTCAGTTGCTGAACAGACTTAATTCCCTGAAACTAGATGCTTTGTTTCCAAACGTTGTAATCATATTGAGAATCTTCTGCCCCTTGCCTGTCACAGTTGCGCAAGCTGAACATTCCTTCAGTACCCTTTCTCGGGTGAAAAACATTTTGCGGCCCACAATGTGTCAAGACAGACTCACATGAAGTCTTGGAATTTTGGCCATAGAGGCCAGTCTAGCGCGAAAATTAGACTACGAACCAATAATTGACAGTTTTGCTAGAGCTAAATCCCATAGACTCCGTTGTAGTAAGAAAAAAGGTAAGCTACATTCAGGGGCGGCTCGTGGGTCTAAAAAGTGGGCGTGCACAATTAAGCTATCTTAGGTTGAAGATAGTCAAGGGCATAGTAAATGAGATGGGGTATAATTTTAGGATCTTTGGTTTGGTGAGGGAGAACCTTGTGATTCTATTTTCATTCTTTTTACTTGTGACTTTGACTTCTAGAACTAAATCTGTTTGTTAGCTAAACGTCAATTTCATTCATCCTGATTTAGAACTGAAAACTCAAGTAATACCTTTCACCACTCCACTACAAAACCGTTCAAAAGCACAACTCATAGGACGATGCCTTAAGTGTGTCACGTTCACCTCCCTCAGGTTCACGGTCATAGAGTCACGTAAAATAGCGGCAAGACAATGAACCAATCACAATTCACTTGAGCACTCCGCTGCATTGCTCCGGGGCTGACATAATTTTGGCATAGAATAGTGCACAGTCTATCGCGTTTATTTTTAGATTGCCTACTGTGGGCTATGTTTCGGCACTATTCGGCAGGAGCACATTTGAGATGTGCCGTCTTATTAATATTAATGTACCGCCAAACTCGCTACGAGTGTTGTCATCGCTTGGGTTATCCCAAAGAGCGATTTATAGGTCAGGTTTCCACAGTTGAATATCCTGCTATGCATAGATACAGCGCATGAACTTTGGCATGGCATAGTATATGTTTTACGGCGCTAAAGACACAGAAATGACTGTTACGGCGCCAGTGAGAAACGTATTTGGCTAGTGTTTGTTTCTGGCGTCTTTTGTTTTGTTATTGTAGGTGTTTTACGTAATAGAACATTAAAATTTTGGGCGGCACTGCACGACCGTGCTCAATGGACGAACCGCGCCTGGCTACATTACAATTTATTTTAATTTCTATCATTGGTTATTCATCTTACCTTCATTTTAACTACCCGGTAACTCAAAAAAAATAAAAGATTTATGTTGACAACACCCAGCACTTGATGGAGGGGGACGAGACAAAGGAGGCTGGGGGGTGTGTGTGCTTTGGGGGGGGGGATTAGCTTTTATACAAACATCTATTTCGTAAAATGCATTTCCAAGTAGTGAAGATGTTTGTGTAAGAGAGAGAGAGAGAGAGAGAGAGAGAGAGAGAGAGAGAGAGAGAGAGAGAGAGAGAGAGAGAGAGAGAGAGAGAGAGAGAGAGAGAGAGAGAGAGAGAGAGAGAGAGAGAGAGAGAGAGAGAGAGAGCGTATGTTGGTATGTAATAGATATGCTAACAGTAAAGTGATTATATATGCCTATGTACATTGTATTTGTTGGGTTATTAAAATGCAGGTGAGGGTGGGTGAGACCGGGGGGAGGAGGGGCCCGAAGATGATTGCTGCCCCAGGGCCCGACCTGGCTCTCGACGGCCCTGAGAAAAAGCAGCAGTTCCATGTTGTCAATTAGGCACAATTGTGAGCGTGACATGAGTCAGCCCATTAACAATTCTACTTTGCTTGAACGAGAAATGTCCCCCCCTTTGGGAATGGCATAAAGCCACTACAGTCAGTGGCACTGCCCCGGGGGTGAATCTAGATTAGGTTATTCTAGGAAGCAACAATTGGCATGTAGGCCTAACTCTTTTTTTAAAAAAGTGATTGAGCTGGAACTTTAGGAGAAAATGCCACACCTTCGAAGAGGGGGAAGAAGTCTTACCCCTAGAGGTAGTCAAGAGGGGGTGCTACATGGATAAATTCAAGGTAAAATATTTATGTTTTGTTTCTTTCCTGTTTTCTGTCTTTTTCCTCTTCTTAACTTTCCTTATACTTCTTCATTATTATTCCGTTCGTAGAACGGGTACTTTTACTAGTTTCGTATAATTCTCTTTCTCAAAACATTCTCCACCCCCCATCCCATTTTACCCACAACTCCATACCTTCCATTTCTGGGTGCGCCGCTCGCTCAGCTGGTATAATTCTGGTTTATGCTGCAGTTGGCCCTGGATTTCCAAAGGGAGGTTCATGAACTACAGTGGAACTCGGATTCAACGAGGTCGCCGGGCCTGACCAAAAATCTCGTTGAATCTGAGTGTTCTTATAGCAAACACGAGGTTTTTGTAGATACATGTAATAACAGGCACTGAGCAAGTAATGTATAAAGAGAAGTCACAAGTAGTGCCTGTAATGCTTGCATATTATGAGCTGTGTAAAAAAAAAGACCAATTCGTTCAAATGCACACGCCTGTGTCATCTCGATTGTTTACCAAAAAGTTGTGTTCCTGTGTAGAGCCTAGCTTACGGCATCTTTTGATTCCACAGACCAGTGCACAATTCATTACGTAGATCTACGTCAAGACTAGTTTATCATTGTAATAATGATCAGTTGCCGAGGGGGAAAAAAAGACTGACGTGTTTGTATCTGCGACGTTCAACACCCGGTTCGCTAGTGCCCCCCCCCTTCCCCCATACGCACACAGTCACACGTGTGTAGGCTCCGACACACGCCAGAGTAGACACGTGCGAGTGCCAACAACGCATGTGTTGGTATGAAAAAAGGCCGCCGATTGGTCGCATACAATCGGCTAAGTGAATAATGCCAATGGTTCATGATCAGGTGCAATGATGGTTTCCGGGAATGGATAAAGTTCGTTCTGAGAGGAAAATGAACGAAGCCACGTCTGCGGAGGCTGTTCACCCTGGAAGCAACCTTGTTGAATCCCAGCTCGCTGATTTAAGTGCTCGTTGAATCCGGGTTATTTTTATTGATTTTAAAGAAGAAAAAAAAACGGGGAATCTTTCTCATCTCGTTGAATCCGAGTTCTCGTTGAATCCGAGTACCACTGTATAAGAAGGATTATTTTGCCGAACCATGTTACATTTGAAGGAGTCATCACTTAAAACACGTGAATAACCTTCAATTGATGTTGAATGGGAAGATAAACGTTTAGGTTAAACTTAAACTACCACATTACCCGTTCTCTCATCCCTTTCCCTTTTTGAGTATGGCACAGGAAAAGGCAAAAATATGCAACCCAAGACAACGTGTTATTGTTAAACCTTTTGTAATTAAGTAAAAGATTACACAAAATGTAAACAATAACTTCAGACACTGGATAAAAAAGTAGAAATCAGCGGAAGGAGTGGCGGTCAGAAACTGAGGACGACTTGGTCCGGTGGGTCTACAGAGCTCGGCAAATTCCGTATTTCTCCGTGACCTTCAAAATGGCGTTCATGACGTCAGTTTGGGGCTGGTGGTTGCAGAGGTTGATAAAGGCCTGGAGATTTCTCCTGGCAAATGGGTACCTCCCCATGTTGATGCCTGGACATCGGGCAGAGAAGAGGCTCAGGGCGGCCTTGTAGCACTCAGAGTTTTCGACTCGCTCTTTGCCGGTCAGTATGTCGGTCTCTGTCACACCTCTAGGGCTGGACATGGCTGCCTTGACAAGGTCTTTGGTCAACGACTCGGCTTTTTCCTTGACTAGCATCATGTGACGTAATTTGGCCTTGAGCTCTTCCCGCTTTTGACTACTGAGATCACGTGACTCGATGAGGCGACGAGCCGTGGTGGCGATCTGAACCATGTCAAGGGCGGGGTTATTGAGGTCAATTCCGGCGAAGGTGAACTCTGGCCCCTGAATATGTCCATCAGTTTCCTGTGTGTTCAGACACATCCCGGGTGTGTACTGCTCTGTCTTTGCCTGAAACTGAGCAAGAACTTCCTTGTTCATGCTCAAGTCTCCGTACTGCTGTGGGTGACTCCCATCTTTAGGCTTTTCACAGGCTTCCTTTACCACTTCATATTGTTGATAGAGTGTTTCCTTGTGGAGATTTGCCTTGTCTGAGTTGTACAGCCAGGCGTTATCATAGACACCTCCTACGTAGACTTTGCGGAACTCATCCCAACAGCACATACGTGCATTCTCATTGGGATTGGCGGACGTGGTAATGTAGATATTGATGTTGTTCGGGAGTAGGCCCTCGAACATGCTCCCTGAGTGACAGGCCTCCATGTAAAGCACCATCTCCTTGTACCTTTTCTCTCTGTACATCTGTTTGAGGGCGTTGTTGAGGTCAGTGTTGTGCAGCTCAACAAAACCAGGGAAGAAGAAGACCCCTGGACCACCATGATCAATCATATAGACGAACAGACGATCGTCAGGACCGCTGTCAATCACTTTACCGTCTCGACCAATCAGTTTCTTCACGCCCTCCTTGTCGCCAGTGAGAACTTTGAGGAAGACTTCCGGTGTCACTTCTTCCTTCCGGTAGTCCATTTCACATCCGGGGTAAAGGTTTGGCCCTGTTGGAAGGGTGACGAGGTTTCCTTGGATAGGATTCTCGGGGTCATGTGCTACGTCATCGTAAGACATGTGGACGATGTTCTCAGGGGGGATGCTGTTGTTGCGCATGGTTTGGTAGGCGTGGCATGTGCTGGACTGGGGAAAACACAAACAGGATTAAACATAGCCGCAGGGAAAATGGTTACTTGTTGGGTAGAGAGATACACACGCTCACAGAGTCATTTATTCAGAGGTCGTTTCAGCGGTGTAAAAGCCATAGAATTGTACGTGTATTATGATATAATAATATCCAAGGAGTGTATATTATGTACATGCATTATGATATCATACACGATGCACTTTGATGTATGTCCTGTTCACTAAAGAACGAACGTTCGACTCAATTTGTGAGCCAAATAAAGGGCACGAGGTGAAAATGTGTGTGTACTCGACTGTACTATAACTATAATGAGGATTGTGTTTTTGCCCTTTTTGGGGGCGAATGGTGATGACCACAGTATGCACGCTTCGCAACGAATTTGTTTTTGTCTTTTGTAGTTGCTGTTGTTGTTGATGTTGCTGTTGTTGTTGTTGTTGTTTTGATTCGTTTTAGAGAGCACAGATTGGCAGCTTTATCAGAGCGCGGCAAAGGAATAAGTTATCTGCTGTAACCATAGACGTTATAAGTTGTAACCTCAATGGTTGCAGCAGCTTTGATGAGTATACACACACACACA